AAAATGATTTGTATTTTATTATTTTTGCCAAATTATTCGTTGCCAGTATGTTATTGAGCAACTGCCAATGAAACAAACAAAAAAAAAAAGAAAAACAATACATACAGGGTTCCAAGAAATATCACTTAAACCCAACTTTAAACAGAAGATACAGAGCACTTTGACTCTATCTTACCTAGATCATCATCATCATCAGTCTTCAACTTAACCTTAGATTGTTTTTTTTTTTCAGAAGTTATAACAAGCTATCCCAGATGTTTGTAAGTTATTAATATTATTTATTACCTTTTTCAAGGCTTCTATGAGATTAGCGCCTGAAGGCCACACCTCTTCTTCATATTTTGATTTGGATTCCCTAAAGCAAAGATCAGGTGGTTCGTCTAATTCCATTTTGCTGAATCCTACTTGCTCCTCTTGCATACTTTTAATAGTCTTCTCGATATGGGATAACGCATCGACCACCAATGCTGTTTCTAACTGAAAAAAAGACATCTTCATAAAAAAATCATTCAAAAAGTCTTCATCTTACTTGCTTATATAAAAACTTGGAATATGTATGTTTTTTTTCCTGAAAAGGAACCCACAACAACCAGTTACCTAATACGATTTTGAAATTGAATACATTTATATAAATAAAGTAAGATTTTTGGATAATTGCAAAGAAAAACTAAACTCGTAGGTAACCACATCCAAATATGCAACAAATATTTTGCTGATCAAGCATAAAATATGTACCTAGGTATAATATTTCATTTTAATTTTTTAAGTTTGCTTTATCTACTAGAGATGCAAACCAAACACAATTTCGAAGGGATTTTGCGCCAAGATGTCGTATTTTCTACTAAAGCAACTTACGTTTCCTATGTTCAGTCCCAAATCTGTCCATTTGTCAGGATTGGCCGTAGTCAAGTGCATAGTGGAAACGTTGGCCAACAGCTCCGGAATATCTTTTAAATTCATCGAGTAGGTGTCTAGGTTCGTCATTATAAAGCTCTGAAACGATCATTAACAACTTTCATCATCATCATTTCAGCCATAGGGCGTCCACTGCTGAGCATAGGCCTCCCCACCACCGATGATTTCCACAATGGCTGTTTGGTGGCGGCCTGCATCCAGCCATTAGCAAAGTTGCTATTAATATCATTATGATAAAGTTATCATAATGATATTTTATGTTCAACAGACTTCAACAGAATATGTATAAATAGTTAACACAAACTTCGCCTCAATCAAAACAGATGTCATGACACGTTTATAAATCGATACGAAATCTATAGTAAGTATTATAACAAGAAGCGAAATACCACTCACTGATTAATCACGAAATCTCAGAAACCTACAAACTTGAAATTTGGCAGGTTCCGTAAAAGCTGTAAATATCCGCTTAGAACGGATTTTACGAAACTCCACCCCTATGGGAGTAAAACGCTGTCCACCCGTACGACGGACGGCCGCTAGTATACTTTAAACGTCATAAACTATGAAAATAGGTAAATATCCATGCTCATCATACTAATATTCGCCCCTAGTGAGAAATAAATCTATAACCACAGAATTTTCTTTGACTGTACATACCTACTACGAATTTACAAGACTAGTCTAACTCCCTACTAATATTATAAATTTGAAAGTAACTCTGTCTGTCTGTGTCGCTTTAAACTATCACTATGCCAATTTTCATCAAAATCGGTTCAGTGGTTTAGGTGTGAAAGCAAGACAGACAGACAGACAAACGGACAGACAGACAGAGTTACTTTCGCATTTATAATATTAGTATAGACTAGTATATACTAGTATATATTAATACATTTACCTAATATCAAACCAAATAAAAACGCTTACCATGAACTGAGTAGAGTTCTCAACTTGTACGATCTCATTCATATATTTAATGACGTTTTTCACGTCGCAGTCTATTACGTGGTAACTCATATGTGCCACCTTGAAGATATGTTTGAACATTTCTTTATTATCGCCGTCAGGATCCAATTTTCTAAATAAAATGGGCTCCCGATCTTGAGGCCATGTGTCTATTATCTCTTGTAATCGAATGAAACCTGAAAGTATTTATTTTGGTATTATTTTATATTAAAAAATCATATCAGTGAAATAATAAAACCTTTAAAAAGTATCTCAATAAGCTTAATTTTAATAGGGTAAAAAAGGAAAGCACCTATTTTCTTGTAATAATTTAGAAAAACATGGTCCGTGTCGAATTTGTACTTCCGGAATAACCCTTATCCAATCTAAATCTGAAGTCCTGAGCAGCCGAGAGTCAGAAATTTGATATCATCATTTTATTTTTTTAAATTTTCATACAAAATAAATTTTATAAAATCCGATTTGTATGAAAATTAAAATAATTAAAATGAAGATATCAATTTTCTGACTTCACCATACCATTTATATGCCCATGTTAACATGAGCTAGTGTCGGCTCATATACCCATTTACCAAACACCCTGTATATTTTCGCACGGAGGGTTTGCCATCCGCATTAAAAAGTCCTATCAGGCCAAATTATAATCTGTCAAAATTAAAACCGGTTTTCCATATTTTTTATTTATGAGATAAAAGGCAAATGAGCAAACGGATAATGAATTATTAAACGGAATAGCATAGCAATAAGCACTTACTGCTTTCTTCCTCGTACAGTATTGTGAATTTATCCCATTGTAAATGCTTGATAAGGGTGGCGTAAGCTTTGGAAACCAATTCCGGGGGAGGATGGTATAATAACGTGAAAGGGTCTTCAAGGAGCGACGTAGTAGGTTGCCACCCTAAGGCCAGATGGGTTATCTGAAATGTAAGAACAGTGCGTTATTATGAATGATCTAACTAATGTGTTAAGTCGTCAAGCAGTTGAAGAGGGATTGTTTATTATAGTTAAACTGTTTTAATATAATTTCAGTAATAAGACTCTCTCGAATCTATACTACTATTATAAAGCTGAAGAGTTTGTTTGTTTGTTTACTTGAACGCGCTAATCTCAGGAACTACTAGTCCGATTTGAAAAATTCTTTCAGTATTAGATAGCCAATTTATCGAGGAAGGCTATAGGCTATATACCATCACGCTACGAGTAATAGGAGCAGAGCAACAATGAAAAATATTGTCAAAATGAGTTTTCGCGGGCACAGTAGATTATTTAATAACCGTTAGAACTTACGTTGAGTCGATTGCACAGGAGACAAGTAATATCACATATTCCGTAGGTTGGTCTCGCATCGATCAGTGCTACTATTCCTTTGCTGTCCGAGGTAAACGAGCATACTGGAATTAAAACAAAAAGCTCAATTTATTACTTTCAACAACGCCTTAGTATCTGCTGCTGCAGTATATCAAAGTAACGTAAACTAAGATGCACCCTTGCCTTGAAGTCTATTAAATTATTTTCCAAGGATTAAGAAGATATTTTATGATACAGTAGAATTCCGATTATCCGGATCAATTAAAACCAGGGGTGTTCCGGATAATCGATTTCAAAGTAAAATCAAACAATAATTAACTTTTTACAATAGAAAGGGTTTTCAATTCATCGTTTTAGAGTCTAAAAATCTAAGTTTTAGACCATTGGTCATCCATTTCTTTTAACAATGAAATAAAAAGACGTCCGTATCATGTTACGGTGGCGGCGCCTTCGGTTTTTATGGGTCTAGACTCTAGATGCTGAATCGGTAATTAGAAACCGTGAAGAATGAATTCGGATAATCGGATTTCCGGATAATCGAAGTCCGGATAATCGAGATTCTACTGTACGTATGTTCGGAGAGCGGGTCATAATGTCTGCAGTATGACCACAGGTTTGTTACAGCCAGCGCAATAGAAAAAATCATGACTTACCATCAGGTGAGATACAAGCCAAGAGCTTCCTCGTTGTGGATAAAAAAAAACAAAAAAGCATTATTTAATACTTTAGTAAACAAGTTTTTTTTTTTGCATAGCACCAGCAGAGTTGACAAGTCGCCATACTAACAGAGAGGGACTTAATAAGACTGGATAAAGTAACTTACAGTTCAGGGCGGTTGAGTAGCTGTCATCAGCATCAGAAACCAACGCCCGCCCATGGTAGGACTTCCGCCCGCCTATGGCTGCGATGTTCCCAAAAGCTACATGCGAGCTTGACGCAGTTTGGCTGTTAAACAATCCACCTACAAACAAACAAAAATAATGATCTTCAGAAAATGTTTGAGTTGAGGGGTTAAAACTGAAACTCACAAAGTAAATAAATGACACATATTCATAGTTTTTAACTGAAGGACTCGATAAAGATGAGAAAATCAGTTATATTAACAAAAAAGACATACCTATTGGAAAACTAGCAATGGAGACAGCGTCTACCCTTAACAGGTTCAAGGACAATATTGTGATGGCGAGTAACGAGTTTATTGTCATTTTGAACCATTTGCATGTGGACATGCGGCTCGGAGGCCGCCTCCACACAGTCTGGTGTATTTTTGGAAAACAGTTTTAGGTCACGTCTCGTCGTTTGGAGCGACGCGATGGCTTTCAGACGGTATTTCAACATTGGGTGGTTTTATTTAACTCGGAAATAGTTTGGATATGAATGGGCGTGAATCAGAAATAACGGTAATGTGCGAAAAAATTCAGTTAGTTTGCACAATATGTAAAATAATATTAAAGATGTAAGAACATTTGAGCACATTAGAATGTCGCGCAGTGATCGCAGCTGATTCGTTATCAAGTCATTAAGAAAATAGAAAAAATCACTGTAACAAGGACGGCAGGAAGTCTGAACATACTTCACTCTTTGTTTTGATTTGTATTTATAGAAAGCATCTGAAGAATGCTCATTATTACATTGTCACCTAAACAAACTCTTTAATTTTAACGATGATTGTTTCTACACACATTAATTCATTAATTGGCTTCAATAGGTACTCATAAAGCTGCCAAAAAAGCGCACCAAACAGTTAAAGACCTTCGACTGAAAATTCATTCACTTTAATTCACTGAAAAAAACGAAATGCCAACTCCACTGATTTCTAATTCCGTAAACGTTTAATTTTGTTTGGGCGACTGGCTAACCAGACTTTAGTGCGCTTACGAACGGCAACAACGAGTTTAGTGAAATAACACGTGATTTAAAATGCTCAGTGAATATTATAAGTGAAATTATGTGGTTACTGTGGCTCCTTTTAGTCTTCGCTATCCCACTATGCACACCTCAGATCATTCGTACGGAGCACAAGGATATATCGTACCAAATAGGTATGTTATTCAGAGTGCCTAAAATGTAGAGAGAGAATTCTTACATTCTTCTTCAAAAATTCATATTTTTATACGTATTTGAATTACAGATTATTTAGAAAAAGGTTAGGTATAAAGGCTGTAGGGGTGTGGTGGGGAAAAGAAAATACTCAGACCAGTGATCTGAACATGATAGATTTAAGTATTTTCTTGGAAAAGAACAGACGTTCTTTTGTTTTTCTCGTTTTGTTCGTTCGTTTGGATAGACATCCAATCTTATTAAAAATCCTTTTCTTACTGGTTCTATTTTTTCTGTCTAATTTCTAATGAACATTTACTTACTTACCTGCAATTCAATATAAATTGAAGGATGGAAAAGCTGTATATTTTTCGGGAAGAAATTCCGCTTGCTTAAATTCCAATGCTTGATTTGAACTCATAATTAACTCCACATTTTCCCCACCCTGTCGATTTATGCATTTTAAACAACAAGCAAATACTTATGACGATTGACCAGTAAATAATCATTCTTTCAATGAAAATCGGTCCACAATTGACGGAGTAATCGGTGAACATACATAGAAAAAAAATACATACGTCTTAACATAGAACCTCCTCCATTTTTGAAGTCGTTTAAAAATAAACAAATCGAACTTCCTAAAATCGATTTTATTTCAATACAGCGGGCATTTTCACGTCGGATGCGCAAACACAGATGCTAGCCTTCAACGAGTCTATGCAGGGCAGCGGTCTTGACACGCTCCACCTCAGCCCGGCCTTAGTCCTGCCTTCTAGCAAAGACAGTCTCTCCGTTTGGAATGAGCGTAAGTATTAAAATTGAACTCTACGAATAACCAAAATGACAGTCACACATTCCAATTTTTTTGCTGTAGAATCTAGAGCAAAAATCTAGTCTAGATAGACTGTATTTCAGTCACATTTATTGCGACTGTGACTACTATAGGTACCTACTATAAAATAAGAAAAACCCTAAGTATTTAGTACTATGTATTTTTAATCCCTGTCTACTACATACTTATCTGGTAGGTATGTGTACATTTTTTTATTTTGTTCTACAAATATCAATATAACCAATTCTAATCATTTAAATTAACAGCTAAACAATTAACAATTCTTAAAACATTAAATTAACCTATCCTATAAATTAATACATACCTATTTGCCGCCCATTATTATCTGCTTGTCAAATTCTTTAAACAAGGATTCACAAATTATTACAAAATCAACCTTCTCATTCACTGTCCTCATCGTGTGATTCAGTGTGCTCCAACAGAAACCTGCGACCGATAGCAGTCGTCGGTCCCCAGGACCCCAAATGGGACGGGATTGTTCGCGACCAATGCGCCCTCGCCAACATCCCTCATATCCAAGCCACTTGGCAACCGTTGGACCCTGACCTGGAACTCAATGAAGAAGAAGAAGGGGAAGAAGATAGTGAAAGCGAAGAAGAAATCAGCTATAAGAAGCTGACTATTAACTTCTATCCTGATTCGGATGAGATTTCGTTGGCGTACGCAGCCTTGTTGAAATATTACAACTGGCAAAGCTTTGCAGTTCTTTATGAAGATGAAAATGGTGCGTCCCTATTGTTTTACATTAGAAATACGAGTAGTTGCTTTGTTTTACTTCAATTCTAATCATTAGGCGCATAAGACTTATGTTCTTGATCTTTTAATAATATTTCAATTTCATTGAAATAGAATGGTTAAGTGATCAAGAGGTGCAAAGTTCTCCTTTAGTATTTTTTGTACAAAATATTTTATAGCTCACATTAACTGAATTCAATCACATTTTTTTAGGACTGACAAGAATACAAAAGATTCTTGCTGAACATACGACACATTTTCCTGTAGTCATACGAAAACTGAACGTTGAGACTCATAATCGTGATGTAAGAAATATATTTCACCAAAATACTTAATTTAAATACGCCTAAAGATTTTCTACCTACCTGTGATTTTCTTTTCAGGTTTTCAAAGAATTATCTAAATATCAGCTAAATCGCATTATGATAGATTGCGATGCAAGCCGTATTTTAGACTACATGAATCAAGCTCGTGATTTAAAAATGGTCAACTATTACCAGGTAAATATTATTCAACTAAACCTTCATTAATTGTTTCCATCTAGGTATTTACTATGTACATAAATTACGTTTCAAAATAAATACTATTAGTATCCTTACAGTTCCTTATAAGATTTATACTTGAACAGTTTTTTTAGAGATGTCCTTGAAAGAGACTGTAGTTAAGAGTTTTTGGACTTGTGGTGTTTGCTAATGGCCAAAATAATCTTATTACAGCACTACATCCTAGTGACAATGGAGGCCTACATCGTGGCTGAACAGCTGACCCACTTCCACTCCAACATCACGTGGATCAGCATCACGGAGTACGACAAGCTGAAGGACGCTCAACACGCGCTGGCGCCCATGGTCGGCAAGTGGATCACCAAGCAGATGACGCCGCCGCCGCCGGTCACCGACTTCACTGTTAGTAAACTTAACAAACAAGATACAACCAAAACTGAGACCCTTAAGAGTCATGTAGGCGAGAACAACGCGTCAAACGCTAGAGCTATTCCGAACCTGTGAAACGGTACGGTCCGGCGTAGTCATAGAACTATTTTTATGACTCTGATAAGTCGTAAGCTTCAAAGCATTTTTTTAATGTGTAGAAATTTTCAATAAACTAGTGCTTATTAATTAGACCATTTGCTGCCGAAAACTTTTAAATACTTGAATAGCTGCTTAGAATATTTGGTTTGTCTTGTAATTACTTGCTTCATCATTATTATTCACAAAATATATTTTGAAACAGAAATAATATTTTTATTGATATCAGCGCTTGTCACAGAACTACGTATCAATCTTGATTACATTAATCAATTAAATGAGCTAATATTACGATATTATGAAGATGGAAAAACAATTATTCGATGATAAAAAGCTACTAATCACAGCCTACCTAGGACAATGCTAATATACCATTGATTACAAATTCTGTGTGATGTTAAGCTACATTATGGTGAGAGTCACCAGAGAAATGCATGAGCTCTTAATGGATGGTAGAAAGCAAATTATGTTTTACTTTATGTTTGCAGACCGAGGCCTTGATAATGAGCGACATAGCAAATCACCTGCTAAAGTCGCTGAAAACAATAAAAGATGAGATCACATACTTCAGGCCGAGGGCTCACATTTGTGACGCCGACGCTCAGCCCTGGCGATACGGTGCACTCTTCCAAAATGCTATACTTACGGTAATAGAATTTAAAAGGCAACATTTTAAATGTCGCTGCATTTTAATTGTCGCTGCATAACACCAAAATCGGCTGACAACATTTTTCACACGTGACTTTCGGATTCAGAGACCAAGTTTAAGTTTAGAAGCAATTAATGAATGTGTTTCTTTTTTATGAAAAGTCCTTATCATATTTTTTTTCAACCCGTTGCAGACACCTTCATACGGCGTCACAGGCAACATAGCATTCGACGAAAAAGGCAGAAGGTTCAATTACACGTTGTATGTCAATGAAATACACGTTTCTAAAATGGAAACCATCGGCACATGGTCTTCTACCAACGTCACCGAGATTCAAGAAGATAGGCCGGATGTGGAAGGCCTTGGCAGGCAGCAGAGCAGCAAGCATTTTATTGTAAGTTAGATATTGAGCACTGATTAATTTATAAATTATTTTAAGCAGTTCATGACATAATAATACAGACTGTGCCAAAAAATAGCCCACCAACCTGACATTAGAAATACTGTTAAATATACAACTTTAACTGAAGGTATTTGGAAGTGTCAATCTAGCGTACCATTTGTGGGACATCCTGTAGAGTACCTAATCGAACGGAGTTTTTATTAATTAGGTAATATCCACAAAAGCCAAACCATGGTTCTGGGACAAAGATCCGTGTGAAGGGGAAGCCTGCGATGATGACGATGGCCTACAGTACCAAGGATTCTCAGTAGATCTGATCAAGGAGATCTTCCGACTGCTCCGAGAAGAAAAGTTTAACTACACTTTCGAGTTTATGGATGGAGGGGACAAAAAAGCGGGAACAATTGACGAAATATCTAAGAAATGGACTGGTATGATTGGAGACTTGTTGGACAATGTAAGTAAATTGACCTATAGTTAAATAAGTCTATTTTTCATTAATTTGATAATGTTGAACAACTTTTTGGTCACAAACTTTGGATTGTGTCTTTTGTTCGTTGTTTTCAGCCACGAAATTCAATAAACAAAATGTTGTTTGTCTGTAGGTGGCAGACCTCGCAGTGTGCGACATAACAATAACTGAGGAGCGGAAGAAAGTGGTAGACTTTTCAGTGCCATTCATGTCCCTTGGTATCAGTATACTTTTCACGCAGAAAAAAGAAGCAGAACTAGAATTGTTCTCATTCCTCAATCCATACACCTTCGAAGTGTGGATCTACACGGCTACAGCTTACTGCGTTGTTTCTGTGATATTATTTATTTCTGCCAGGTGACTTGACTGTTAGATAAGATAATAATGCCTTTAATATCTTTAATTAAGATTGTTTATTACTTTATTAATTATTTTTCTTATCAGAATATCTCCAGCTGATTGGGAAAACCCTCAGCCGTGCGATAAAGACCCAGAGGAGCTGGAAAACATTTGGAACTTTAAAAACTGTGCGTGGTTGACAATGGGATCTATCATGACTCAAGGTTGTGATATTTTACCGAAGTAAGTTTAAGTATCTTCCATTTATATCTGGTGCTCCTGTAGTGAAGACCAAATAAACCTGATGATGATGATGATGACAATGATGATGATGGAATATAGGTTATAACAGAAATTACTTGCTACTATAGGTATGCAATCTAATCTTTTAGATTATAGTGCCTTGTAGAGTGCTCGAGGCAAATTCATCTTCACGTTGCGTCGCGTCATAAAGCAACGAGTATATTGCCGGCACCATTCTTTCATGGGCTTGTAGTCTAATAAAGCAGTTTTATAGAACACCCAAATCCCGAATGCAAGTCACCTGTCACGCTCGGTGTTTCTTATTAACTGAAACCCAATCTTATTAATATAATATTCTATTCTAACCCTGGCTGATCTATTTATTAACACACAGCCCGAACCGCGAAAATGGATCTTCCAAAATTCTTATGGCGATGAAACAGCGGTCCAAACTTTACCCGAAAACCCGTTACCCCGAATTTAACGCTAGCGAGCGAAAAATATAGTGTTACTAATAGCTAATAGACAATAACAAAGTAAATAAAAAAAGTAATACAGTGTGAGTCACGTTAAAGTGTACATATGAAAATAGATGAAACTAGACCTATTTTTATCGACAAAAAAGAGGTCAAAAAATTTTTGAGATTTTTTTTTAATTTTTTATAGAATATTTTTTCTTCCAATTACTTATTGTAAAGAAAACGTAATAACTTTTAAACTAAGCGGTATATCCTGATAAAATAAAAACAGTAATAATGCTAAATAACAGGCGATACTAAAAAAATACATAAAATACACAAAAAAGGCCAACAAATAATAAAAATTGATACTTTTTGAAAAAAATCTGCTTTGAAATTCGTGTTTTTTTGGTTATTTGATAAATTTCTCCAAAAAATGCCCCTATAACAGGTGGTTTTTATTACTTTTTATTATTCTCTATCATATTATCTTTGTAAAACCAAAAATACCATGTCTCTATCCCTATCACAACATTTGCTATGATCGTTTGAACAAAGGCCTGCAACAACATTATTCTCCGCTACAGGTAAGGAAAATTTTAATTTTAACTTAAATGCTTATTTTACTTCGAAATCTTTTGTTTTTATTTGCAATCTAACTTGTCTTTATCAAAATTACAAATCTAGAGCCATTTTCAGTTTCGTTGTTAACGAAGCGTTGAATGGCGCGCCCGGAGAGGCTTAGTTCAAACGATCATTGCAAACGTTGTGATAGGGATAGAGACATGCGATTTTAGGTTTTACGAAGGTAATACGATAGAGAATAATAAAAAGTAATAAAAACCACCGGTTATAGGGGCATTTTTTGGAGATATTGATCAAATAACCAAAAAAACACGAATTCAAAAGCAGTTTTTTTTTAAAAAGTACCATTTTTTATTATTTGTTGCCCTTTTTTGTGTATTTTATGTATTTTTTTAGTATCGCTTGTTATTTAGCATTATTACTGTTTTTATTTTATCAGGATATACCTCTTAGTTTAAAAGTTATTACGTTTTCTTTACAATAAGTAATTGGAAGAAAAAATATTCTATAAAAAATTAAAAAAAAATCTCAAAAAAATTTTGACCTCTTTTTTGTCGATAAAAATAGGTCTAGTTTCATCTATTTTCATATGTACACTTTAACGTGACTCACACTGTATAATTTTCAGAGCTTTTGGATCGCGCTGGGTTTGTAGTATGTGGTGGTTTTTCGCCATGATCGTCTGCCAGACGTACATTGCCCAGCTGTCGGCTTCCATGACGTCAGCTCTGGAAGACGAGCCTATCAACAGCGTCGAAGATCTGTTCAAGCAAAACAAAATCTTATATGGTGCTATGCAAGGTGGATCTACGCTCGAATTTTTCAAGGTATTAATAATTATGTATAGTTATTTACGATCTGAGTTACTATTATATTTCACATCAGAGCAACGCATAAAACCTACCTGTCTCATCTGTTTATATGAAAGTAGTTTGCAGTAAAAAATATGATTAGAACTCGAATATTTACTATCCTATTTCTAAAAGTACGCAGTAAGCACTTTTTTTTACAAAAAAGCTATTTCAATTCAAACTGGAATTATACAAGTAAAATTAAACACAAAAATGAATTAAATCGGAAATAATTCGTACTAAAGATTTTAGTGTTTTAATGGCTTCATTAGTTGCCCATAAAGACTCTCCTGGGTTTTCGACTTCGACTGAGTTGTGCTTAAATGGTGGGGGCCCCCGAAAGGGGCGCTTTTTCGGTTTTCCGGTTATACCGCGTAAAGGACTTACCCTATCGAAAAGTGGTCTTCCTGACGGTTGAAGGGCATTTAATCCTGCATTAAATAAGACCAAATTCATATGTTTTGAACAAACCGTTCTCGTGCAAATGTTCGGCAAAGTAGAAAATATGTGTATAATTAATGACCCTCTCCACGTCCAATGGCTCGTTACCCGCAGGCTTCCAAGTCTTGAAAAGGACCGCCTCAACCAGTGTAACCCTATCAAGGCTTACGAGCTGGATGCGCCTATCCTTGTTCGTCCCAGCCGTGCCTTAACTGCGGTTGCTGCACCTCTTCCTGGCACTCACCTGAACGACTCTGTGTTACCTACTGTGGCTGCCCCTCTTCCTTGTATCCTCCTGCACGACTACGTTGCCTAGCCGTATGCCTGGTCTAAATGTTGCGGGTTCGGGGTTTTATTGGACTAGGATAAATAAGATTCGTGCCTGGGATGGACCCAAACCTTTCAAAATAGCCTTTTTTTACGTTTTTGCATACGAACTCACACGAGCGCTGAATGACAACAAACAAGACTTTGAATTTGCTTATGCGGCGATAAATCTTTGTCTCTAATGCACGTTATATCTTTTTAGACGTCAAAAGATAAAATGTTCAAAAAAATGTACGAGAAAATGATGACGAATCCCGTGTTGGTTGCAAGTAACGACGAAGGAGTGAAGAGAGTGGTCAAAGGGAAGAATCGGTACGCCTTCTTCATGGAGTCCACCAGTATCGAGTACAAGTTGAAAAGGAACTGCGACCTCACAAAAGTGGGCGGTGAATTGGATTCAAAAGATTACGGCATAGCAATGCCGGCAAGTAAGTTTTAAGATTTTTTATTTATTTTTATGATTATTTACACAGATACAAGTAGGTAAGTACAGAAATAATTATACAGAACTGTGAGAAACAAAAATAGATCCATACTCAGCTATGTAACTGCTTACGGGAAATTCAGATAGACCAATGATACCAAAACAAAGAAAGAAAGAGAGAAAAATTTTGGTAACTGAACCAAAAATGGCACCCACTCAGCATGTGTTGCTAGGGTAGTGGTTAAATGTCGGCATAACTACAAATAAATACTTAATGCTGGATTTGTGCTAGACAGACCTGTGGCTACTGTAGTTACATAAAACAGTAGGTACTTACTGCAAATATAAATAACTCGCTTTTCTTTTCATATTCAGTTACTTTTCCCTTCTTTTATTTCAGATTCTCCTTTTCGAAGTCACATCAACAGAGCTATTTTAAGACTAAAAGAGCTAACACTTATAGATGAAATAAAAACAAAATGGTGGAACGAAAGGGATGGAGCTATGAAATGTCCCGTGAGTGTGTGGTTTGATATGTAGTTGACAAAACTAAAACAGTCTTTTTAAACAAGAGTGTATCGAAAATTTCAGCTCAATAAGTTGAGCATCTGCTTTGAAATTCTGTTGCCTCTACAATGCAAGATTTAATCCGAACATTTTTATTGCAAGTTTGATAAAATCTTGTAAATACTTATAGCCCTCCTATAAAGTCCTCCTATTGCCAGTAGCACACACACACACACACACACACACACACACACACACACACACACACACACACACACACACACACACACACACACACACACACACACACACACACACACACACACACACACACACACACACACACACACACACACACACACACACACACACACACACACACACACACACACACACACACACACACACACACACACACACACACACACACACACACACACACACACACACACACACACACACACACACACACACACACACACACACACACACACACACACACACACACACACACACACACACACACACACACACACACACACACACACACACACACACACACACACACACACACACACACACACACACACACACACACACACACACACACACACACACACACACACACACACACACACACACACACACACACACACACACACACACACACACACACACACACACACACACACACACACACACACACACACACACACACACACACACACACACACACACACACACACACACACACACACACACACACACACACACACACACACACACAGTATACCTACTATGATACTTAGTTAAAACAAATCATTTATTTATTTTCAAGCCTTAACTCCTAACGTAAACTTTCATTAATTTCCAGGAGGCGAATGACACTGACGAGGTAGAAGGGTCACTTGGAATGGAGAACCTAATGGGTGCTTTTTTGGTGCTTATCGTAGGAATGGTGTTCTGTCTGTTTGTCACCGCGCTCGAATTCTTGAACGAAGTCCGGAACATCGTTGTTCGTGAACAGGTTCGTTGGGAATGTAGCCTATTTTTTAAAAATGCCAAATTAATGGTTCTATAGAGCCGGACTACTAATTAATTTCTGGTAAGCGTAGGTTCGATCTCCACACAATGCAACTATTTGTGCGTAATGCGGGTACATAATAATATCTATGTAATTAAAAAAAAGATTTGAATATGTTCCTATCTATTTTCCGTGCAAAATGTCCAAGATATTCGACGGCATGTATTTAAATGATCTTTTTAAATTAGCAAAAACGGCAAATAAAAAAATCTAAATGGTCATCTATTTTAATGATTGATCCTCTTTCTTTGAGACATAAAATAAATGAAATCGATCGATATTTTAATCTCTTTTGAACTACGCAAAGGTACAGTACCTCTAGTAGGAAAAACTTTCGAGTTCGTTTCGTTGCGTATTCAAAGTGTCATCGAAAAATTTTGTATGAAAAATTAAACAGCGCCCCCTATATTATAGCCGCCCTAGGGGGCGCTGTTTAATTTTTCATACAAAATTTTTCGATGACACTTTGAATACGCAACGAAACGAACTCGAAAGTTTTTCCTACTAGAGGTACTGTACCTTTGCGTAGTTCAAAAGAGATTAAAATATCGATCGATTTCATTTATTTTATGTCTCAAAGAAAGAGGATCAATCATTAAAATAGATGACCATTTAGATTTTTTTATTTGCCGTTTTTGCTAATTTAAAAAGATCATTTAAATACATGCCGTCGAATATCTTGGACATTTTGCACGGAAAATAGATAGGAACATATTCAAATCTTTTTTTTAATTACATAGATATTATTATGTACCCGCATTACGCACAAATAGTTGCATTGTGTGGAGATCGAACCTACGCTTACCAGAAATTAATTAGTAGTCCGGCTCTATAGAACCATTAATTTGGCATTTTTAAAAAATAGGCTACATTCCCAACGAACCTGTTCACGAACAACGATGTTCCGGACTTCGTTCAAGAATTCGAGCGCGGTGACAAACAGACAGAACACCATTCCTACGATAAGCACCAAAAAAGCACCCATTAGGTTCTCCATTCCAAGTGACCCTTCTACCTCGTCAGTGTCATTCGCCTCCTGGAAATTAATGAAAGTTTACGTTAGGAGTTAAGGCTTGAAAATAAATAAATGATTTGTTTTAACTAAGTATCATAGTAGGTATACTGTGTGTGTGTGTGTGTGTGTGTGTGTGTGTGNCCAATGACGGACGATTGTCACTCAACCACAAAGTACCTACCGCGGAAATTAAAAAATATTTTTAATTAAAAATATTAACCAATAATATTTTTAGTTAGATCAAATATATTTTAAAGTTAAGTTATACATTGATCGAAATGTATTTATTAGGTGATCAATATTAAAAGGCAAACTTGATATAAAAATCATCAAATCAACAAAATTAAAGATCAATAACTAAAAAAGAGGATCAAATATTATTTTTGTTTACCAAATATTAAAAGAGTATGTTAAACATAAATATTATGTTACCTTAAATGAAGATCATTCATAATTTATCCGTAGATCAACTAATATAGACCCAATAATTAATATAAAGATAAAATATAATAAAATACATCATTTATTTTTAAAAGTGCACATACAAAAAAGATCAATTAGTTTTTAGAGGATCAAATAATATTGTCCCATATTCGACCACGAATGCTTTCTAACCTTCCATTAAAATCTAAATAACAGTGGGAATCGGATAGAAATTCATTGCTTAGTAAAAAAACAATGGAGTAGTAGCTTTCTGAATTTACTACATAAAATACACAGCGATACTCGTAAAGTAAAAGACACCCATAACAATCTTCTTGAACTATAACTCGAAACTCTTAACAAAACCTGATTTGCTCTATGCATCTACGAGTACCCGAAATGTCTCAAAAACTTCGCATTTTCTAGAGCACTTCCAACTTTATGTCACAGGTGAGCCACAAGGAAGTCATAATAAAGGAACTGAAGTGGTCGCTGAACTTCTTCCAGCTTCAGAAGCCAGTTTTGAGGAATCCGAGTCGAGCGCCCTCTATCGCCTCCTCCACCGAAACGGAGTACAGGATGGAAAAACAATCGGCCCTCATTGAAAACTTTTTGGAGTTCGAAAAGGAGACCCAATAATGATTTTTGACAGCTGGATTACTAACCTCATTTTTAGAGAAACTTTAGATCAAACTTTTTGGTTGAGCTGATGTTTTATTAATGTTGGTTGCCTATTGTAGTAACTTATTACATATAGTTCTTTTGTTATACAGTTTTATCAATATCATTCACCTCCTTGATCACAATGTGTACTTACCTAACCACATTTCCTGCAGTTTTCCTTTTGTCAAAGATCGAGAAAACTAATCAGAAATTTTCATATAATCATATCTAAACAAGTAGAAGAAGGCAGCAGGAAGTGGATAAATTATGTTCTTACAATAACTTTTAAACTTTACTCCTTTCTCTTAACTGATGATTTCTATTAGGTATATTAATTGCAAAAATATATTAAATGTGACAAAAGATAACAAAGAAAAATGTTGTGTGAATTGTTTATCCAAACTTTATACTTTTTATGCTTGTTTTGGCGGAATTCACGAGATTAACGTCAAAGATTAATTTCAAAGCACCGTTCATTGCGTATTTTGTTTTTAATCAATTAATTGCCTATCATTACTTCTGACGTCACAATATCAGAAATTCACTGTCTTATTAAAACATCGAATTACAGGTGGGACTAATTACAATACGCTTATTTGATAAGTTATCAATATAAGGTAGGATATCGATTCTAATAAATCTTATAAAGAAAATCAATAATCATTACGTAGGTTCTTAGGTAGAGCAGATACTGTATGCTAACAAAAGATATTCCAAAAAGTATTGCATGTAAGTATGTAGGGTCAGTTCATGTGCCAATGTTAATGCACCGGGCTGATGATCAGTCAGTCTGGGCGTGAATGGATCTCCCTCTCAACAAATAAAAGCCGATTTCAAAAGGAGTTTTAAGAGCTGATAACTGACATCCGGGGGTCTGCACGTGCTGCCAAACGCGGCGATTATCGCGGCGACGCACGCGACTCTCCATCGGAAATGTGGGAGCTGGCGGAAGCCCGCACTACTATTAATGCTACTACTAACAGTGTACACCCACGGTGCAAAATCGCGAATGGTATACCTTGACGCGTCAATACATCGGCAAGTAAATTTGATCCGAAGTGTGATAGAGATCGTTGCGAATGTAGATTAGGGATCGCCCGATGTGCGCGGTCGCCTGCGCAGCAATCAATGCAGTGGCGAAAGAACGCCGAATATGATCGAGGATTAGTGGTGCGAGAGCCACGGTGCGAGATGGCCGTGTCGTGGTACGCTGTGGTGTTGCTCGCCGCCACCGTTCTCGGGGCGTCCATTGCGCGTGAGTTGATTTTTTTTGTTTACAAAATATGACATTAAAATTTATCTTCAGTGTAATTTGCATTTGTTTCCATTGATAATTTTGTAAGTGAACGTTACAATTTAATTTAACTGCGAATTTAAAAACAAACAGAAGGAAATTCGTAAAAACACCGACGATGGTGACAACCGGTATTTACCTTAGGTTATTCAGCGAAAACGATCCAGGAAGCACGCAAATGGAGGGACCATGAGAAACAATACCCGTGAATTTTCACAGTGATTTCTACATCGGAAAAAAAATACATGTGTGTTTAATTAGGTAGGTACCTGATGATGACACCAACATGTGATTGTGAAAATAAACGTAAACAGAGTAGATCAAATGTAATACTCAGGCCCACTGAGAACAAGCCTTAAGATATTGATCTTAAAATATTTTTATACAAAGAAACTACTTTTTCTCTGAAATTGTCATTTGTAACTCTTGTATCCTGCGGATGCAGCGTATCTACTTTTAATGTTATGTATAATATATTGTTTAATTAGTATGTAGAGTCTTCACTTGTCGTAAGTATTTTTTATGCAAGCCATTCACTAGCGACTTTGTTATGACACAACTGTTGTAAGAAGAATAACTTTGCAAGAAAAATAAGTTAATTAAATTACGATAATAATTATTACCTTTCGCGCAAACCCAAATATTTAAATTACGACGTTGACGTTATCACATCGTATCGCTAAAATATTTTAAATGTAGGTACCTACTTTGTTTGCCTAAACATCAATATCATTGACATTGTAGTTAACGATATTGAAGATATTTTCATTCAAGAGTAACTCTTTCGTAACTTTATCAAGATACGGCAGTTTCAAGGCAAATGTGACCAAAAGTATCGAAATAACAATAATTTAAAAGATAGCGCCGGTAACCTACTTTTTGATACTTTTTGGTATAGCTAACTGAGATGTCATAATTGGTGACTAATTAGGTAATAGGGGTAATTAGATAGTAGGAATTAGGGGTAATAAATAGGAATGAACCCCAAAACTCTCAAAAGGTAGTCGTATAAATATTACTCAATACTTGCTCTGATTTATGTCTGGATTGCTGGGTACCTAAATTACGCCTTACAGGTTTTTGTACCTAAGTTATTTGGCATTCATGAAAGTATGAAAGTGTACCTAAATCATAGAGTCAAGCTTTGACTGGATCCCAAGCCATAAATAAATGTTTGTATTCTAAGGAGAAAATTATTTAAATTTGTCTTAAGGTACCTTTTTACCTATGCTGCTGAAAAGTATCTGATGAAATTGTGCAGAAAAAAAGTAAACAAAGAACTAAGCAGGTCGAACTAATAACTCAATCGCGTCACTAAGTAGTTATCAAAATCACTTAATCACAACGGAATCGGAAATATTTCTGTAGTTCAGGAAGATATCGTCAAGTGTGAAAGTGCATGCAGATAATATCCACATATTAGTTGCAGCATCGGCCATGGCGAACGCGGAAGGTGTAGGTACTGATTGTGCAACACGTTGCGTGTGTAATTCTAATTACTTATTTACTGTGATGGCGGACTGATCAGCCCTTGTCGTGGGCACGAGAAGAAAAGTGAGCAATTACATGCACGTTTAGACAAAGCAATTTGAAGTACGCGTATAATACCACAGAATAATAAATAAGTACTACATATTCAAAGAATGATCCTTGAATAAACCTAAAACTTTACAGGATCATGAAGAATAAAGTTATTACTTAGATAAAAAAACTGGTTTAAATAATATTTTGAGAAAACAAATATTATACACTATTGTCACATACTTAATTACCGAAGTCGTCGAAGTAATGACACAAAAAACAACTAAATCGTCTCAAAATATTTTGTTTGTTTGACAAAATATTTTCAGCATAAATAGTGTACGAGTGGCATTATGTTATAAAATACTTTTATAAAGTAATCAAGTAATTACAACGAGTAAAGGATTCATCTTCATAATACTTTAAATTGCAATGTTTACTTTTACTTAATCAAATGCTATATAAATAGTAGAATCGATTAATTGAAAAGTAACCAGCTTCACTTTTCAATAACTAATCAAGATTTGTAATTAATTGTACAAATCTGTAGAAACAGGCGAGATCAAAGCAGTAAATTGATATTAATAGAAGTTGCTCGCAAACTAAGTAATATAATTTTAGTTTCAATGAAACATTCTTGTGTTATTTGTTTTACGCGTAATAACGAAAACGCATACCAGTTGCGTTTCAGCATCATCGCACACATTTTCATTTTAACGGTGTTCAAAATTAATTACATTTTCAGTGTCATTGCCATCATCATTTCCACAGGCCACTACCATCTTAGTCTGAAAAAAAGGAAGACTGTATTTGCAACAAATAGTAAATTTACAAAACATATTATATAATATCACCTTCTTACTTCTAATCCCTGTATTCCTAGTCTAGGGGTATTTCTTCTTAGTAGGTAACATTTTGATTCGATTCAAGATCGTTATCGTTTCGCTACGTCAGAAGAATCACAAGGGTGATATTTGCGACCAAACTAAGTGGTAAAGCTCTGTAACTATAGTAGGTTTTTCCTTCTTACATTCGGTTAAACTTGGATGATAGGTATTTCTCGGAACAAAGCAGTATCAATTTACAGTTGGATGTCTGTAAGACGGTCATCTACCCACGAAATATCCCATGCTACATAAATATTCATATTTCATTACATTTCAGTGTCAATGGTCCCATACAGCGTGCCCCCATCGGACACCACGCTAAAATCGAGCCGAATCATACGCACACTCAAACGTGTATGTACGTACGTGCACGTGTCAGATGCACGAAACCGGTCGATGGTGGCACATTACGTGTAAATACATTTCCATGTTATGCTAAGTCTAGAAATTCTTAAGTGTAAGCATTGTCATAAAAATGCAATAAAATTGGTAATAATGTTCAATATTTGTTTATGTTAATGTAGACAATTTCAATAACACGTGGAAGATATAAAATTGGTTCGTAATTATCATTAGCGATGTAATTTTATTTTTATAATTTATTGTTATTTTTATGACTTCCAGTTACACTTAAAATGTGTCCTCTAGACTTAGCAATATTGCACCTATAATTTGGTGGATGGTAGCACTTAACATTCTATAATGAAAACATAAGTACGAGTATCAATTTTTATTTGATTACGGTAACAAGTACTAAACAACCATTGAAAAGGAAGGAAAAAATAGGACGCCTAAAACGTTATTAATTCAGTACATTTCCTATCAACACATCGATAATCATGATTCTGGTGGTGGATAACCCTAGAGGAAAAGTCCTAAATAATTTTAATTTACTATTTAGAATTCTTATAAATTAAATTATTTTGGTAATAAAATGAGGTTAACGGGATTCTATTGTCTGTATGTTCTTTAGCTGTAAAGGTAGGTTAGAGATTTTCTACCTTACTTAACTATTCTGATTTACAGCATGGAACTTAAAATGTAGACATAGCCCAAGTTAATCCGCCTGTTCAAACTGTCTTAAATTTCCCCAACAGCGGAGAAGCAGGCCCTAGAGAACTCAACGTGCGGTCGTGTTTGGCTCACAGTGCACTCCCCCGAGATCCGACAAAACGCGGGGCGAAGGCTGCTCGACGCATTGGAGCTTAACTGGGACTTCAATGGCTGTTCTAACGTTCCTAGACAGGTAAATAAAGGAGTTAATAATAGAAATAATAGAGATAACGACGATAACTGGTTACTAAGTGAAACGGCAGCGGACTGGCAGATTCTGAAATCGAGGAACGCTTGTTGGCAAACCATCTCCTAACACAAGCATATATTTTGGAGGGGTTAGCAGATATAAGTTGTTGCAATTCACGAAGGCGAGTGAGCTTTACATGTGTGGTGGCTCGCTACTGTTCGTTTTTCAAAAGTTTTGACAGACATTACACTATCGTTATGTGCATGTACACGTACACACACAAGTAAAGCTCGCTCGCCTTTGTGAGTTGCAAGAACTTATAATTTAACGACAACTCTAACTTAGTAGCAACCTTTAAAAAATACTTTAAATGTAGCAATCTAAAGTGGCAGAGAGTCGACCTTATCAGACGCAAAACCGACAAAAGGTGGATCAATCGGGTTCTTGAATAGAGATCACGGCAAAAGTAGTGTAGGACATACATGCTCAATGAACCGACGACCTCGAGGAGATATCTGATCAGCGACTGGTTAAAAAAAACTAGAGATCGTACTTTAATAAATTAATATCCTTGGACATTTTACACTGCGCCTCTAGTCCCAAACTAAGCAAATCTTGTACTAGGTACTTTGTAGCGTAGGTATCTTCCGTCCGAAGTGGACGATGAAGAGAAAAGTTTAAATAAAGCTTAGGTTATAAGTAGGTACTTTTTGTGCTATAGTGATCATCGTCACCTTCTAGAAATTTTCTAATCTAGGCCTATTAAATATATTTCTAATTATTCCACGACAGCTCAGTAATTTATCATTAGTATTTGGTATTCATTTATTTATTGCATCATATGTATGTATGTAGGTAAGGTAAACATATGGGCCCTGCAAGGGCATTGCAATTTTACTCGTATCTACAATAGCAAAATAAATGAATAATTGATGTTATAACAATTTGGAATTTAGTTAAAAAAAATTAAAAACTGTTGTGTAGGTACTGGGCCGACCAACTTTTTTATAAAGTCTCTCCAGGAAAGAAAAAAAAAATTTCTAATAATTATTATAATACTTAAAAGAATGTATTGGTATTTGGAACCCACTTTCGTTTTTATTTTCAAAGCTTGTAAAAGCTAATTGACACAGAGCTTTTATTTACATTTTTCAAAGGGGCAAAAGCATCATCAAAACCTTTTTATTATTTTGTTGATTTTTACGTTAATTAATAAAGCCCGCCGTAATTACAGGGATCCACAACCTGATTCGGCAAAACAGATTACTACAAACAACGTTTCGGACACGGCAATTAAACTAATCTATGTATTACATGCTCATTTGTGTGGACACGGGCATTACAATAAGGCCTTGCTGTTTTACATACAATCTCTATGTAGATTGTAGATCCTAACAATGCAATGGTTTGAGCTTTATTTTATTTATAAACATATTGTTTGTTTGTTTAAAAATACCCAATGATTCCTTAATGCATTGTAATTTATTATGGTAATTGTCGTAAATTAACAACATTTAAACGGTTTCCAAAAGCTAATATTGAATATTTGAGAAACGACATTCCAATATTTTTTTTATGTTTTTTCCGGGTATGTACTTGTATAATATACTTAGCTATTTTAAGCAAACGAAGGTACCTTTACATTGGAAGGACGTTTCTCAAATAAATATTGTTTATTTTTTTACTGTTTGTTTTAGTTTTATTAATTAGTGCTCATAAATTTCGTAATGTGACCAGGATATATGCCACGATGATGTAATGTTTTTAATTTGAGCGTTTTCTATTAACTTTATAAAGTTATAATTAAATTGATAATCTCTTGACGCGTTTTTTAATAACGTTATTATTATGTCTAATTAAAAATAATGATAACAGTTTCTTTTTAAAATCAACACTTCGTTATCATATTATTATACCTATTAGTTCCAGTAAAAGAATAGCAACATTGTATGTGCATAATGGTCGGCATAAAGAAAACTTATAATCCGATAAAAAGTGAATCAAAGGTTATTTGATTTTTTATTACTTATTATTTGTTTATGTAGTTACAAGTATAAGTAGGTACTTGTATGAACTAAAACTCTCCATCAGAAACAGTCATGGGTACCTTAAAAGCTTCAAACTAATTCGTAGTCCTTTAAATACATATTTTTAGAGTAAGACTATAATAAGCTCCGGAGTCGTGCTCCTGCAGTGGTAACTAAATAAGTACTTAAGGTGATGATGATGATGATAAATAAGCTCTGAAACAAAAAAACAGGAGCAACTAGGCTAATTCATATCACTGAGCGTTCAGAGCTAATCCTTTTTATTTGCATTGTCACCATTTTTAGACTATAAATATTACGTTATGATTTTCACTACATCCATCATAAACATATACGCAGTTCGCTAAACGACGCACAACACGGCTTATTATAGGTCACAGATCATGCCAATGGTCTCCCGCCCCTGACACCAGCGCCGAATCATCTGATTGAAAACAATAATGTCATTGTACCACGTGACGTCACGCAGTTAAGCCAATCACGAGCCATTCTTAACAACATCATTGCAGGATAAAGTCGCATTTCTCGACCAAATCTAATAAATTATATCGCCTTCCTCATTATGGTACAATTTCTTGCGGTTGATGATTACGCAGAGCGTTCAGTTTGCGACGTACTTTGTCATGTCAATAGGTAGAGTTGTTTTTATTTAATTTAGTAAGTAGGTACACATGCACGTACTACGAATAATTCACATGAAACCTGTAAAGTGTTTTTTACAAACTAAACCATTATGCATAATAGGTATTTACAAAGTTACCCTTTTAATCATTTCAGGTTTTTATCACCTGAAATCGTACTTGTAAACAAAACCTACATATCTATAAATAATCTTGTATAAAAAAGGTAAATAGGCTGCATGACTGCATTCTATTCTAAGTGCCTGCATAAAATTACATAACCAAAATCAATTTTCTTCAAGCCAGTTGAACCACTGTTTGGACAAACTATTTTTTGTGGCAAACTCTACTTTTTGTTCTGAAAAAAATTTTTCTGCATCGTTACATTTAACTGACCTACTCGTTGGCATCAATTATTCAGATTTAGTGTGGCCCACTATTCAGGCTTATGTAACGCTGGACGTGACAAGAGTCCATTGAGTTTTTATTCGCGGCATCACCATTCATTGTGCTGCGACCGATGCGTTACGACACGTAACATTCAAAGTACAGGCCACAGAACATAACACTTACTACCTAGTTGCAAAATAACACCTAATACATCTTCATAAGACACAACAGTGTTAGCGTGACGTGCTATCAGTACGTAGTATCATGTTCGTACAGTCAACACGAAACTGTTCCGTATTGCGTTAACCAACGGACAAGTAAAACAGAAAGATTTAAGTGCAAACCACACGATAGTATTCGTAGTAACTATAGATACTATTAAAATTATCCAATAAATCAAAATCTAATATAACTCTTCGATACAAAAAGTGCTCGCACAAATTAATTTCATACAACTTTGTTCGACAAGGAAATCTTATTTAATAAATATAATCGGAAACATTGGATAGCGATTTAAGCAATTACACCTGAATGTCCTAGCGTGCGTATCTTTTAAAAAACAATTTCCCATTTCATTTAAAACGAATACCTATCATGTTTTCTTTATATTAATTACAATATTCTTCTTATAATTTTCACAACTTATTTAAAATTATCTATGTTACCACTTAACGCATGAAAGATTCATTTTACGTTTTACATTGCAAAATCAAATCATTTTCAATCATCACTGAATATATGAATGCACATTAGATTGACGTCTTATGTAGGTAATTTGCGTAATTCTTTCTTAATTATATAAACGCTGTAACATCCTGTATTTAACTTCCCCGTAGTTGGTAATTAAACTGAAAAAAACATATTTTATTGTGGTGAAAATAAACTTAATCAAATACCTACCTACTTATGTTATTGGTTCGAATCACTAATGCAAATATAGAACAACAAACCACATTTGGAGGATTCTAACATCTATATTCAGGACCGTTTGGTGAAATACAAAAGCTGGATGTGAATCATATTCCATGAATGTCTTGAATAATTGTCTCCAAATAAGCTATGCAACAGAAGAATTATCAAGGGGAGGTAACTCTTTGAATTCGACCAACTAGCTACGAGTACCTCAGAATTAATGTTCTGGGACTTAATGTATTCATGCAAAGACACCTTATGACCAAAGATTTACGAAGGATTTAAGAAGGCGTCTGAAGAGTAACTTTAAAATGGAATCAGAATTATTATTATACCGACATATAATATGTGGAAACTCTAGAATTGTAACATTGTTAATTCCAGACTATCTAGCTGTCGGCTTAAACAATAAATTACATTCCAAGAGAACTTCTTTCAGCAGTCGGCTAATGTTGATTATTAAATTACGATCATCTATTCGTCATTCATCATTCATTAAAGTTTTGTAATAAAAGATTAAGTGTTACATATTTATAACAATGTTTCAATATTTCATTCACAGATAGGCCTATTCGAAAGTAGGCCCTCATCATGGGCGAATGCCTTAGAAATCCACCAAGTGAACTCGGCGGACGGGTTCGTAGTCACCGAGATCTCCTTAGGCGAGGCCACGCTGCCCGGGGCCTGGTTGACAGGCCCGGGTCAAAAGGGCCCACAATGCCTGTGGCCCTGGATCGCCGCGGGAGACAACGAAATCCAAGCCCACAACTGCTTGAAGATACAGCCGACGTGGATGGAGGACCATGCGTAAGTTTAGATTTTGAAACTTTGGATATATCTCCTAAAAATGTTTTTATAAATAACGATAACTATGCTATTAAAAGACAAATAAACACAAATCACACTTAAAGCTCATATTCATGTCATTTTTGCTTAGAGGAATTTGAAACTGCAACTGCATCTGAGTTAATTCAGTGTGCTAACAACCAGTGCATGTACTAGCTATCTTAACAAATAGTACCAAAAAATAGATTAAAACTATAGGTACCGTATAAATGCTCTAGTAAGTACGTACATTTTCTGGCTGCTGACAGTAGCTTTGTAACTTTCGTATTAATTTACGTAAGAGTATGTTTATCCTATAAAAAAGATGTCGTATTTTAGCAGTAAAATTACTGCTTGGAAAAAAGTTGAGTAATTAAACGAGGCCGTATTACTCTTACCTCTGAAATTGTTTCTAAGAAACAAGGAGGGTGGATAGCAAATTAATTAACTGTCGGACATCCACTGTTGGACGTGTCAACATTACAACATAGCAACTTAAATTATAATTGTACCCACAACGTATCTACATTATACATCTGCTAAAGGACTCTAGCTTATAACCTGTCGTTTAGCTAATAATAAATTTGTAACAGTTTTAGAGAAAACTTCATGATTCTCTCTCAGTAAAGCAACGTAGGTATTAAACGACTACGACTGATTTACTTAGTTAATTCTCACCAAACTCATTAGTCACATTTTACACGGAAGAAAGACTAAAATCTTGAAAAAACATAACATTATGGTCGCTTTAGCGTACCTACCATAGTAACAAGACTGAGTATATTTTTTCTTCATTTCCATTTTCCTCAAACATTAAATTTAATTTGTTTTATTCAGCATATTCAAATCCTTCATAAATAAAAATTCGTTTAACGTCGATGTATTGATTTGATGTAGATTAATTTACCATTAAATAATATTATGAGTTGAATTGTAAATTTAGCTCTTAATTATTCAAAATACCGTCATTTAGTCTCCACTGCAGAAGCACGACCCTTTGTAATTTAGTTACCAGGTGGGGCAAATGTTGGCAAAGGAGTGGAAGTAGTCTCTCGTATTCTGGTCTCACCCAGACTTACAACAAAATAATATTCAACGAATTATGTATTTCTTGTTCCTTTTTAAACTACTGTGTGCTTACCACATTACTATATTTATTTTTCTAGTATAAAGTGACTTATTCGTTAGTTTAAAGTAGTGCTGGAGTGCAGTGGGCTACGGACATTGTGTATTACATGGAGTTTTGTCTGNGTAAATCGGCTGTGACAGACGGACAGACGGACAGACGGACAGACGGACAGACGGACAGACGGACATGACGAAACTATAAGGGTTCCGTTTTTGCCATTTTGGCTACGGAACCCTAAAAAAGTTTTAATTTTTATCTAAAAAATTACACCATTTTACGTGTAACACCCATGCACTGTTTATTGAGCTCAACATTCCATTAGTGTTATTAGTATGGAATGCAAACATCATTAATTACTCACTTGTCTTCTATACACATTGATCAAACAATAATTGCATTCTATTGCTTGCGGTAAAGACACACTAAGCAAGGAATTCGAAGCATTCCGCTAAATCTGCCTCTGGAGTAATAAGAGCTAGCGATAAAGACTCAATCGTCTACTTTAGAACCGTAATGTTATCGTCCATCATCATTTCAGGTAGGTACTTGCTGTACCTTTATCAATAAAAAATAAATAAAATTAAATATGCCTCCTCGAATGTTTTATGATTTCCAGATTAGTCCAATTGGTTGGTTGCCTGCATCCTTTGTCGTCATTTTCGTGAAATTCTCGCACAACAAGTCGAGCGATTCACGCATAGATTCCTTCATATGGACTCGCGGCCGCGACGCTGCGCCCGCGGTGAAAGTCGCGAAGAAAGTGAAGGACCCGCCTTTTGGCTGGACATCCGATTACGATACACCACACGTAACTGCGGCCAAATTGTTTATTGCCCGAGAATTGGGCTTCAGACGCTATCTAGGTGTTAGAACGACTTACAGTGGAATAAACGTAACTGCGGGCAAATGGTTTATTGCCGGAACTTTGTGCTTTAGACACCACTTAGGCAGCTATTTGTCATATAATAATGTTTAAGACTAGGAGGGTGGGTCCTTTTAGTTTTATGTAAGTAATGGAAGAAACACGTTAACTAAGGTTACATTGAGGTAGCATCTCAAGTGCCGTTAAATTAGTTTTCATTTTTGCATTTTCACGAATACGATATAAGTAGTCAACTCATTTGAAATAAGTATTGAAACAAAATCTGTAAGCTTATTGTTGCCTCATCTATACCTACATAGATTTAGATTAAAGTTCATTCAAAAATATGCTTAGGCTTTCAGTGCTGCAAATTAAAAGTTTCAAATTCTCTTCACAACACAGTGGTTTCATAAAGCACCTTTTATTTATATTCTAAGACGATTTATGTACTAAGAGGATTGACCTATGCTTAATTACGTAACCCGATCGCTTTCACCCAAATCGTTATAAGACAAACATGGCGGCGAATATGGCGGGAAAGTTGATGACACATCCGCACATAACAAAACGCATTTCAATTCGATCCATGGCGACGACGACGCGTAGGATGTATATTAACGTTTAATTATCTTAATCAGATTTTATTGCCTCGGTTTTAAAAATATGAGAAACAAACTTCCGATGGACATAAATTAGTTGAAAAATATTTTGTTGTCCATTCGGATGTATTTATTTCTGGCGGTGAAAATATAGAAAACGGAGAAAATATAATTATAAATGAAAAACATAATAAGATAATCTAAAAGATAATATAAAAGTGTCATGCATGTAAAACATTTGCAAAATTCATAAAAGAAGTGTTGGTTTAACAATATGGTAACGGCCATAGAAAAGTTTTCAAGTCTAGTTCGCACTTGCACTGTTAGTAGCTACCTACCTTATTTAATTTCTAAAAGTTGCCGAGTCAGTGCAATGCTGCATCCTCCTATCCTATCTTGAAGTAGAGAGTGCAGAGCAACGACCTTGTGAGTACAGTCGGCTTAAAAATACGGTTCTTATACTTTTTTTGCCTACTTGTAAATTGTACGCAATAGATAGATAGATATACATACACGATACTCAATTGTTTCCTTGGGTAGGTAGTAAAATAATTATGAGCGTACCTGAAAATATTATAAATATTATGATTACCTAATATTATAAAAATAGTGTTAGGTCCGAAAACAAAAAAGTTTTATGTAAAATAAAAAAACTGAATTTTGAACTTACATTTCTCCAATGACCTAAGCTTATACAGCAAAAACAGGACAACTCCGCCTTTATGTTTTAAACGAGGTTAACTGTATGGAGGTGATCGTCCTCGAAATGCGTAGGCGCAGCCTATCAGGCCTATATGCTGTAATGACGGCTCGGTATGCAGAAGGGCACAGGTTCATTCGTAATCTAATCATAAATGCAATACTTGGAGTATAATACAATAATCTTTAAAACAACCTTCATTAAACCAGGACAAGTAATATAAATTGACAATTAGATGTACAGTCGCGGAATGAAAAGGTTCGTCACCTTAGTGTCGGTTTTCGCTTGCACTAGGTATTGTAAGAGTCAAATCTGCCAACATAACAGTGCAAGAAACAGTGCTGCTAACATTTAAATAAATATGACTAACGAATAAGGTTTTGCTTGTTTATGTAAAATAAAAAAAAGAGAGAAGGGGGGGCGCTGCTGCGCGTAAACAAACATGGGATGGAGTAAAATTTATTTATTTTTCTAGTATAAAGTGACTTATTCGTTAGTTTAAAGTAGTGCTGGAGTGCANAATCGTAAATACAATAAATGCTTCTTAAAATTAAGTTTTTATTTATTTTACTTTGCTCATACAACCCTGACGCTTGAGCGGTGACGTAGATCAATTCTAAACACAAAAAAAATGCGCTCTTGTGAGCGTAGTAGTAAGGTGCGATTTCGAATGCATCATGTGCGTTGGATATTTTGCATTATTATTATTACCGTTAAAATGTCGGCATCTGATCCTACACAAAGGAGTGCAATTTCTGTTGCTACTATTATGTATTCTGTGATATTAGTCAGATAATAGAAACCAAAAGCCCAAGGCTGGGTCACACCACCATAATTTAACTTTAACAAACGTCAGAAGTCTGTCAAACTCATGTCAAACTCCATACAAAACACCGGTTATCGGTAACCGGTTAAAGATACTGTCAAAGTTAGGTAGTGCAACCCAGCCTTAGGCTGCAGTGCGGTTACACCATTTTACTACCTAACTCCATACAAAAACCGGTTATGGTTATGTAACGGTTAAATTAAGGTCTCAGCCTTAAATTTTCGGGACAGCCAATCAGAAAAAGTATGTTAAGAGTTTTTCTGCCATAATACTCATACCATCGCGTATTTGGCGTGGTCAGTTCAGTCTGCACATATTATTTGATGTACTCGAATTTAGTTATTCTTAGCGTTAGATAATTCCCGGCAATTAGTGGTGACTGAGTTTGTTCCGGCGTTTCTTCTCAGCACTTGCCATATGTTTGTCTCGAAGCGCTGGTAGGGCCCAAAAGATAAGGAGACATGTAAAGTGCCCCATAAGGGCTAACTTTTCTTTTTTATTATTTTCTATAATAATTTTGACGTTCATAAGTGCCACTTGTGGTCTAAACTGAATAAATACTTTTGATTTTGATTTTTGATTTTGATCTTCTAAATATAAAATAAGAAACTGACTCACTGACATATCAACGCACAGCCTAAACGGCTAAACGTAGGCACTTGAAATTTGGAAGGGACGTAGTTTAGGTACCGTAGAGGTGCACTAAGAAAGGAATTCCTGAAATTCCTACAAGAACGGGAATTTGCGGAAAAATCCTTTTGTATGAAAAATCTAAGCCGCTTAAGTTAGACGCTTGAAATTTGGCATGCAGGTACCTTAGTAAACTTAAAGCTTAGTTACAACAGGATATTGCAAAATTCCACGGGAACGGGAGTTAGCCGGAATAAAC